TTTATAAGTATTTTTATAAAAAATTTTACTGAACACTACTACCTTTTCAAAAATAATACTTTCGCAACAAATTTTTCCTAACAAAAATTCTATTAAAAGTTTAAATTACACCAAACGGCCTCGTGCTCTCTTATGCCAACTCTTTAATCCAAAACCGTCCACCTTTCCCTTTCCATCCCGTCCTGTCACTTCGTTGGATCTCCTAGCTATAACTTAACCCAGGCAGTGCATCCAACACCAGTTGGTTCCCTTCTACCTCCTTCTCTCCTCTAGATGGTGATCTAAGGCGGGTTTAAGGCCTTTTTTTTTTTTTTTCTTTCATTGCCTGAAACTGTACGGTTCTCTTCGAAGGGGTTTTCGGTGATCTTTGTGAAGTTTTGTTTATGTGCAGTGGGTATTTTGATTTTGTATTATTTATATATGTTGTTTAAGTTAATGGGTTTGCTTCTGCTTGTTAGCTTTACTTAAATTTTCTTTTGTTCATTGTGAATTCAAATGGTTTCCCTTCTCACCGTAAGATCTGGGTTCTTTTATTTAATTTTGTTCATCTAAGAATATTGGGTTCGTGATCAGTTCAGGGTTTTGTGTCTTCATGATGGTCTTTTCTGAAAATTACCAAAGATTATGATGACCAAAAGAGTCAATCATGGGTATGATCAAAGATTCTTCCTTTTCGTTAATTGAAAGAAATTTATGATCTGGGTAGTTTGAATCTGTTGTTTTTAATACTTGATCATTGTAGGCATATGTAAAATGTCATGTCTTTTTAACGAAACAATTCTCTTGGGTTGCCAATTTCATTCTCATATGCCAATTTTGGTCTCTGCATGGCAGGTCGCATTTGGGAGCCCTTGAGTCTATTCGAAAAATTAGAAGTTGAAGGAATTTATCTTGATTCCATTACTTATAACACTTTGATTAGTTGGCACTCTAAAGAGGGCCTGTTTGATGATGCCTGTTTGCTTCTACATCAAGGAGTAAATTGGGTTTGTACCCAACGGTCAAATTTGGTTCATATTGGTCTACAATGTTGTGAAAGAAAATGAGAGGAATTGTCTGAAAGAAACAAGTGGATTATGATAATAACGTCAGTTAATCTCCAGTGGGACTCTCCACGGTATTCGTGGCTCTATCTCCTTAAAGTCAAAGAGGCCCCGACCCCTGCAAACCCAAGCACCGGGAGAAGGTCTGCTTACTCAATTCATCTGACAGTAATCAATCGATTAGTTTAGTTTTAGAACTTGAAATTATTTTAGGATCCTAGCAATTCATTTGTGCAATTTGAGTTTCTTACCGCAGATGGCGGAATTGTTTAAAAATATTAGAGTTAAAGTGAATTCTTCATGGAAATGGTTAACGGGAGCCGGTTACAGAAGTTGTGACTATGTTATGATCATAATCTTTGCTGATTACTTTCTGTATGTGATGATCTGAATTTTCGAGAATGACTGTCACCACTAGGAAATAATGAAACTGATTTCAATTTTGTTCTATAACCATCTTGCATATTCTGAGGTTGACGTCACTTTTTCAGTTATGGGAAGTTGGGAACACAGACGTAGCATTACATTATGGTGCAATGCTGAGGGAATGCATACGCCATCAGTGTTGTGAGGTGAGCACAGTGGATGTAGGTTAAGCAAATGCATAATGACTGGGTCCCCAGGTTACTCAATTGTGATGCGGACACTACTTTACCTCTGATTTTATTTGTAGGCACATTTTGGAATGACAGCACATGAAGTTCTTTGAGACACTGCTGCAGATGCGGCTGCAACTTTTAAGGTTGGAGACAACTGCTGGTTTCTGCGGTGGACCTTTGGTCTTGTTGTTGCGTTTGTGCCGGGTAGAAGTGAAACGGAGGAATTGGATTGAGATGGAGTTTCTAAGGATGGGACGAAAGGATTCCTACTGCTCTCAAAGCTTTCATCTTGCTGTTCCTTCTATGCAAAAGGCATGGAAAGAAATGATTTTTCACTGTGACATAAGGAGAAGCCAAGAGATGCTGCTAAAACGCGAGCGTGCTGATTTTTCAGTTTTGATGGGTGTTTTAGAGGGTAGGGGTTTGGGGTTAAGGCTGTGTTTTGGTTTTGGGGAAGTTTTTCCCCCTTAGCAAAGTGACTAAATTTAAATATTCGGTGTCTTAACTATTTATTTGTTATAACTGTGGCATAGAAAGTTTATTCCCTCCCTTGTCTTAAAACTTCTAAAAGTGTACAAAATGGTTTGTTTGTCAAAATTCCATTTGAGTTTCTTAACAAAGTTCTTTTTTGGTGAATAGGAGAAACTTTCCTTAACATTTCTCGTTATAGGCTTTGAAAATGCATTTTTCAGTATTAGATCACCTTAGTTGCAAGGTCTTAATGGGTGTCAAATAGGTGCTAATCTAAAATTTCATTAGAATGTAATAAGCAATTGAAATTAAGATGTTACCCAAAAAAAATTGTAGTTAAGACATTCCCATTTAAAAAATAAAAAAACTAAGCCATGAGAGCCAACTAAAATACATAAAAGACATGGCTCTATTTGATTTGTCTATTAAAAAAAATCAAGTTAAAAATAATTGAGAAAAATATTAAAATAGATGAAATTAAACAAACTAAACAAAAAAATTGAGTTTCACTCATTTTATAGGTAATATAATTTTTTGAACTCAAAATATAATTTTTATTTTTTGATTAGTTTTTTTCTTTAAAAAGTGTTTTACATGTCAGGTTGTTTTTTCTAATATGTAGTTTAATTTATATGTTTATTAAAATATTCTTAAGAAATTTATTTTTTATATTAATTTATTAAAATATTTTAATAAATTTAAGTTTAGATTACATATTTAATATATAATTTAAATTATAAAACATAAATCCCTTTTCTCTTATAAATGATATGCCTATAAAATTATAGGTGAATAAAGAAATTATTTATTATTTTCTTGTATTGCTAAATTCATTTTATTGATAAAATCAATAATATCAATTTATAAAATATAATCTTATGAGTAATCGTTTTTTCCATTTGTAAACTCTAAAATAAAAATTGAGTAAAAAGACTAATAAGCTCAAAATTAGAGTTGGTACCCCAAATCAATTTGTTAATTAGTTTACTAAAATTATTTTATTTTAATGGTGAAAATAAAATTAAAATTAATTAATCTTATTATTTAATTAATATACTATTTTTATGAGATAATATTTAATTATTATTATTATATTACTTAAAGCAACTAATACATTTAACTCATCATTTTCAATTATTTTTCTGGAAAAAACAAGATTATTAAAATGTTTTCGTAACAGAAGTTTAAATTGTAACAAAATTTAAAATTAATAACCATACCAATTCACCGCGTTGATCAGCACCCTCCAGGCCTCCACTCCCGGCTAAAGCACGAGGTAAATTAACTCATCCAGATGTTGTCGGTTCTTTTTGTCAGCTGGCTGGCATGCCGGTGATGATGTCAGTTAAGTCAATAGTAAAACACCTACGACCCCCTGCACTAGACTAGACTAGACTAGACTTAAGTCTTATGTGAATAATTTTTTTGCCATGTGTTAGTTCTCAACTCATCCACGTTTAAGAAATGAAAACCACATCTTTAAAACTGTATTCCGTACCAATTCCCGCCACTTTGTCCAATTTTCCCTCCTTCCCAGTTCCCACAATTCCGACGGTTGCCATTTCCTTGCGTCTTCACTCTCTTCAAGGCATCTCTATCTCCCCACAACGTAAAACCGACCTTGGTGCAACCGGGTCGGATCCGGAGGTTCGGATCAAGT